AGCCTGGTGCTGGAGCAGCAACATTTAGTGCCTCTTTTCAGATTTACAGAAGCTATCCATGGTGCTCCACAGAGGTGGATCTATCTGGGAGATGGAGCTCAGCACCACGGATAGCTCCTAAGAAGCTTGCCAGAAAAGCAGCAGTGGATGAGCAGCCCCACTGAGCTAGGAGTCCCCAGCTTCCATGGTGGCCTCCCTCTTTTGCACAGTTTCTAGGAGACCCGGTTTCCATATGGCATAGTGGTCTGCTAAGGTTGTGCAGAAAAAGCTCATTAGATACAGGATGTCCTGAGCTAAACCCTTCCTTTCTTAGGCTCCACAACACCAGACAGTCTTTTCCAATGCAGATCTTTATTAGCACTTCACAGCTAACACAACTCTAGGACAACACAACTCTAAAAGCCCTCCAGCAAGCTGAACAATAAGTCTCTACTTGTGTAAAGAGTGTTGAGCCCAGATTAGGAACTTCTCCCTAATCCTTCCTTTTCATTAGCCTCTGGTGGAGAGCCAGCTGGTGACTGATGGGATAGCTTGTCTCTCTGATGCCTTGTCACATCCCTCCTCCTGGGTCCCCTCCTGTCTCTTCCAAAACATGCCTGCTCTCACAGTCAGCCTGGGAAACAGGAGGCAATGACCCTAATGGAGTTCCAAAGGCTTCTGCCACTTTTGACCATCCTGCCCACCCTCCTGCCTCTTTCTTGGTGTCCTCCTCTTCAGAAGCCAATAGCACAGATCGTTGGGAAGTTAGCAAAGAGTGAGCAAAAAGCATGCTGAGGACTAAGACAGAAACAAACCGTGGCAAGCTGCAGAACATTTGATCGTACATTGAGAGTAACATGGGTTAGTAAGCAAACAATCAGTACGCCATACCTTAATTTCTGGCTGTCCATGTGCAAACTGACCTAATGACAGTGCCCCTGTTAATTAAAAAGTTCTGGTTCTGCATTCATATGAGCCCTGGCTCCACTACACCACTGGCTACTGCCAGTCAGAGTTGACAGTGCTGGTTAGATATGCCAGTGGGCTATCTCAGTGTAAGATCCAACAAATCTTCTCCCATCCTCCAAAATCTGAGTTTCAATACTAAAATGTAGGCCGTGACACAAAGAGCTTTCCTACAGGTACCTGTTAATCACTGCATCTACTTCTGATACAGAGTTGAGATCTGAGCCCTACACAAAGTTTTCCTTGCCCATTTTCCTCTCCATCACCTCTATGTGATGCTGTGCTACAGCAGAATATCACAATTCAACAAGAAGAAAAATACCTTTTTCCTTGTCAGATATAATAGCTCATTTTCTGCATTCTAAAAAAAAAAAAAAAAAACAAAAAAAAAAAAAAACAAAAATAAAAAAAAAAAAAAAAACCTTTTTCCTTTTCAAAAATAAAAGCTCATTTTCTGCATTTTAAAAAAAAAAAAAAAAAACCCAACAGGAAAGTGCTCTTCAAAAACAGAAGCCCAATGGGAGGAAGGCATTATCATCATCATCATCTACAGAAGCCATTAAAAGCATGAGCAAGAAATCACAAGTACACGTGCAGAAAACCTCAACAGCTCACCAAAAGCAGCACTCTGAAGGAAATCCTACCACTTTGCAATTAATTCCAAGCTGGAAATGTCAAAACTAGCATCAGCATGGCTAGATTTTAAGATAAGCTTCATGCAGGAAGAGTGAATGAGAATATCAGTTTTCATATACAACACTGAGATATATAAATTGAAACATTTTACCCAGTACATTTCCTCTTTAGCTTACAGGAACAGACAAGCAGAAGAAGAGCCATGCTGGCCGGTCCATCCCATCCAGCACTCCATCCACATGGTGCCAAACCAGTGGTCCACAGCCTCCTTCAAGCAGGATGGGTATAAGCCTTCCACCCATCCAAGCTCATCAGCCAAGTAAGCCACAGGTGTGTTGAAGACTAGAGCTGATAAGTAAGGATGCCATCCCATTAAAGACACCATAGCTAAGTGAGGGCATAACTCTATGTAGGACTAGACAGAAAAACGGCCGGCAACTCCCAGCATGCCCCAGCCAGCTGCATGGGTTGCAACATGCTAAGAATCATAAGCCATTTTTCTGTCTAAATATGTATAGGATTGCACCCTTAGGTCTATCAGTTATATGGCTCGATCCTATGTATACCTACACAAAACTAAGTCTCATTATTTTCAATGGTACTGCTCCCAAGCAAGTATGTTCTTCAGCCTTGAGAAGGACTCCAACACAGGGAGGGGTGAAAGTGAACTGTTGTCTCCACCATGGCATGGGGGTCCCAATTCAAAGCCCCACACTCCTCCAAGCAGCAACCAGCCACACAGGAATAAACATACAAGGAATCATATTGTGCTTTTCTGTTTTCCCTCTGCAGGGAAAAGCATCTGAGCTCCAGATAAGGGCTGAAATCTGGAAGTAAGTTAGTCCTCTGTGCCTCTGCCCCTCAGCCTCTCACACCTGCTTCAGTAAGACTAATATTACATTGTGTGACCCATTCACAGTGGGGATTCCACCTGCAAAGCTCACCTTGTGAGGCTGTAAGAAAATGAGCATAAGAAAATGGACATAACTAAGAATATTAACCTAACTGGATTAGAACAGACTGTCCTTGGAATGACAGGAACCTATTCACTTGTTTGTGTGAACTAAAGAAGAGATGGCCAGCCTAGTTCACAGGCCTTCCATGGAAAGTCTACTCAGACCACTAAATACCCTATTCGACTCAGCTCTTCCCTGGAACCTGTGGTCCAACCCTTAAACATCCTTGCCATACGAACCAACCAAGGAAGCAGACAGAAGAAACTGTTGCTGCTGTGATCACAAATTCCCACAACTTTCCTGCCTCTTTTCAACTTCTGTGCTGTGCATATGAGTTCGGGTGCCTGCAGTGCTGAATTTCTGCTGCTGTAAAGCAATCAGCTGCAGCAGAATCTCTTCCTCTGCCCGAAAGTTCACACCTACCCTTTCAAGGGCCTTGTGCTCCCCCTCAAAGAACCCTCCCCTGCATTTGAGAACTGAGGTACATCCTTTCATCCAGTTTCTCGGACTGGGACCTGCCTTTACAGCTGTCGCTCAGATGGGTTGGACTAGAACCATCATTCCCACTTGCCATGCTGGGTGGGAATAATGGGGATCTAGCACCACTTCTGTATTACAGGCAGCTAAGAGTCAATCATGGATGCTGGATTATGTTGGGAGGTCTCTGCTTTCTAGGAGGGAGCTGAATCACATGATCATAGGCAGATTTCACTGCACAGAACACCAGTCTTGGCAAGCAGTACAGACCAGTACACTGGAATTCATAATGTATGGAAAAATCCATCCATTTTTGGTCGTCCGCATTTAATTTGGTAGAAAAGCAATACAAAGAAAAGAAAATTTCAGATAAATTCCCACAGATGGGGTTTGGGATCCTCAGCTTACTTATAAAGTAGTTGGAAGGATGGTGTGTGAGTGCCCTGTCTTTTGCCGTGCAGTCATTTCTCTGGCAGCTTGTCACAGCTTCTCCTTCCCACAGTTCAATTAAAACTCATGGGAAGAATATTGTAATTCTTCCTCCATGAAGCTTTTGCAGATTAGGAAGCAAGGGGGAAGCCATGGAGGCTGCAGAAGGATGGAGAGATGTGCAAGGAAAGAAAAAGACACAGAGCACCACCTCATGGTGATAAGGCCGCTCAAGACCACCACCTAAACACATTCTAAAGACATTTTAAGCCCCCTGAGAATGGAGCAAAAAAGCAGGAAGAAGCCTCTTTCATGGCCTAAGAAAACTTTGGAGATACTGGAGGACAGGTTTTGGCTCAGGACTAGCTCGTCTAGCCCTTCTCTGGAGTTGGACATCATATGGCAGGTGTCTAAGTGTCTGGGCTAGAGGTTTTTTTCTGAGAAAATCTCTGAGATTTTTTTTAAACACCCATTCCTAGAAAGAGAAGATCACAATGCATTTTTTCCTCAATGTATTTTTGCTCTGTTGTATTTATGTTTTGTCTCAGCTGCTTCTCCCCCCCCAAGTGTGCCCCCACACCCATTAAAGGTTTCAGAATTGCACTTTGTATTGGACGTTGTAAAGGATGCAAAACGGAGGCCAACCTGTCAGCACAGGGGCTGCTTGCAGTAGTGCCACCAGAAACCAAAATCCCTTGGTGTGGGGACGGGAAAGGAGAGTTGTGGTACAGCCTTTGTTAGTAGAGATCACCACCCCTGAGAAATACTTGAAGAATTTCTCCACACCCTGGAGAAATTCAGTGCAACGGTCCCCCCAGTTTCTCCGTCCACACAGCTGCACTTGAACCCCTGCAGCGTTACAAACGCGCCCAGTGCCCTTGGGGAACTCGCTTAAGGCGCAATCCGGGGCAAGTTTGGTCAGAAAAGGGGCCACTCATGCTAGGAGCTGCAGGACTTTTTGACCAAACTTGCACAGGCTTGCGCTCTTAGCTGCTGTTCAACACCGCTGCATGCCTGGAAGTGAACACACGACCGCTGAGCGAGAGGGGGCGAGGAGATGCGCCGCGCAATCTTACGCACGTTTACTCGAAGCGACTTAGACTCTCGGTATTCACACCAGAACTTTATGATTAGGTCTCTACTACACGAAGTGCCAAAAAAGGATCGGGCAGGAAGGTTTTGCCGGACCGAGTACAAACTTTCGAGTGACACGCGACTCTTCATCGGGCAGAAAAGTGGTCCTTATAGAACGCCTTGAAAGCCCGTAAAGAAAAAGATCAAGAGCCCATCTCGGCTCCTTGCATTGCCCATTTCCTTTCAACAAACTGCTACAGATGAGTACATATCCCCGGGCGTCCTGCACCTTTCTCTGGACAGGCGTCTATTCGACTATCCCCCAGATCGGGAGCTGGCACCGACGGGATTAAACTCTCGTCGCCCTCGGTCCTTTCCTACCTCCTCCTCCTCCTCCTCCTCCTCCTCAGACGCCCCCTTCTGCCCCAGCTCGCGCTCCTCTGCCCGTACCCCTTCCCTCTCCGCCGCCCCTTCCCCACGTACCTTGCGACATCTCCTGCGGAACCCGCACCTGCGGACGCGACGGGGCTTCGCTTCTCCCCCTCCGCCCGCTGCCTTCTTCCTGGCTCCGGGATGCGTCCGCCGCGCGCCTCCCCGGCGGCTCCTCCTCGCCGCGCACGCCCCGCGATCAGCCTCCCGGCCGCAACTTCTGCGCCGCGGCCGCTGCCTGCAGCGCCCCGATAGGGAGCGCCTTATCGCCGCGGCCGCCGCCGCCGCTCGTCACCCGGGCTGGGCGCCTCTTCCTGGAAGACGCGTGCGGCGGGCGGCGGCGGGCGCCTTGGAGCGAGAGCGCTCCCTCCCTCCCCCCTCCCTCCCCTCGCCGCCCCGCCCGCCCGGCCGCCCGTCCCGGTTCCCTTCCCTGCGGCTGCTTCTCCCTCCCTCCCTCCCCCTCGGCCGCCGCGACCCCCTCCCGCAGCGGGGCTGGAGAGGGGAGGAAATGGAGGCTCCACCGCAGGCCGAGCTCTGCCGCGGCCCGGCCCCTCGGTTATTCGCCGGGGAGCATCTCCAAGCCCTTGCGGTCCCCCGAGCCGCGAACTGCCAGCGTCCCCCGCCCCGGAGCCACCACCGCCTCCCACGGCAAGCACTGTTTTGCAAGGTTGGGGCCTGAGATGAGGATCGGGGCGCGGGGGGGGGGCAGCAAGGAAGGAAAAGGATCTGCCACGAGAGGGGAGCCAGCGGATACTGAGGATTCGCGCACTGGTCGGTTCACACGTGCATGCGGGACAGTTCTTCAGCTGCGCTGGCGTTTTTTCACACCCTGGCAAGCCTTTGCTTGAGGTTGCACCCTAGCGCTTTCCACGTTGCTTCTTTAATTAGTAATACCACAATATTATCGTTAAAACTAATATTTTACTTTATATGTATGCCCCACCTTTCCATGTCTTGCAAGGAATCCAAGACAGCTTACAAAATTCTCCTTCTCCCCATCCTTGCAACAACAGCCTTGTGAGGTAGGTTAGAGTATCCGTGACTAGTTCAAAGTCACCCAGTGAGCTTCATGGCTGAAAACCTGACCTCCCAAGTTCCAGTCCAACACTCACACAGTTTCCTCATCACACACGTCATCTCTAAGCAGTCTGCATGTAAATAGTAAAAAGTGAATTAAAATACACTTAAAACAAAATTTCAAGTGCAGTACCAATATGAATCATGTTCTTTTCCCAGTGCCAAACTCTGGATGTTGGGAGGGCTGCACGTGTGTGCTTGTGTGTGTTGAACAAGACCCGTGGAAGGAAGCTCTCTGGGCCCTGAGCAGCCCATCCCCTCCTCTGCTTTTGCTTGTCCTGTTTCTCTGGGCCCAATGAAGCCCTGGAAGCCACAGTTTTCAGCACCTGTAAGGAAATGTGAGGGATGCAGGTGGCACAGTGGTTTAATCTGCTGTGCTGTTGGGCTGGTAGATCAAAAGGTTGCCAGTTTGAATCTGCACAACGGGGTGAGTTCCCGTTGCTCCGTCCCAGCTCCTGCCAACCTTGCAGTTCGAAAGCCTGCAAATGCAAGTAGATAAAAAGGTACCACTTCGGTGGGCAGGTAACAGTGTTCCGTGCACTTCGGTGTCTAGTCATGCCGGCCACATGACCACGGAGACTGTCTGCGGACAAACGCTGGCTCCCTCGGCTGGGAAACAGAGATGAGCACCGCCCCCTAGAGTCAGGCATGACTGGACTTAACCTCAAGGGGAAACCTTTACCTTTACCTTTAAGCAAATGTGCTAATTTAAAAAGAAGTGGGAGACCTTGTTGAACTGCAAGAAAGATGTGTGGGGTATCCCACACTGACTATTCCAGCCAAAAGTCAGAGGCCAGATGAATGAAGTCCGCTGCTTGTTCTCCTTGAGAGGGCAGGTGACCCGGAAGAGATGGCAAGAAATAATGGGATCAGGGAACTCCGCACCTGCCTGGCCAGGGCAGCCCTGTTTCCCCCACTATTGCCTTCAGCATCTGCGGTTCCCCATTTCCTCCAGTGCTTTAAGAGGTGCAGACTGCCTTGCTGGGCAAGGTCCAGGGGCCACTGACTCAGCTCCTTTCCAGTCCAGGGAAGGTTGACCATCCTTCCCACTTGGGGTGAATTCTTCCCACCATCAACAGTGTCTGCGTCCCAAATTTGGGACATTCACCAGGTTTGTGTGGTGCCTTTGCTGTATTACCTTAGCATTATGGATTGTTGCTGAAATAATATTAGAAGACAAATCTTTTGTTATGTTGTTTAATGGCAGTCATGCATATCTGCATGTCTGACATAAATTCCTACAGAAATGTCACATTTTTGAGACTGGGGAACAGGTTCTTTGGAAAGGATTGTAACAATGCATCAATTCAGTCATTCCCCACTTCTCTTCCTTTTTAAATTTTCCTTTCTGCCAGATGTCTTCTCTTTTAAACCATTGGACCCTGCCACCTAAAACATCTTGATCTTTTAAAGGAGTTTTTCCTGAGCTGTACAGCCCGTTTGTTGGTTCAGTGGGACACGTTGCTGCCACCCATTGACAGCCGCCTGTAATTATATTTTTATTTGTAGGGTAAAGAAGGCAGTAATTTAGGATCAGCCCAAATGTCCCAGGCAGAGTGCTTTCAAGTAGCACAGTAGACTTTTGGATGTGATTTTTTTTCAAGTGATAGAAGGGGAGGAAATGTTTGCAAGGGTTGGTGTTAAACTTGCTTTAGTCTTAGTATTTTAGTGGACAAAGCCCTATACAGACTGATTAGGTCTGACTGATACCTTGTACCAAAAGTAAAAATCTTAGGTTATACAGAAGTATATTGGGATAGAATAGACATGGATGCCCTCCCCCCCATTTTAAAAATGGATTTATTGGAATCCATTCCTGACACAGATTAGGCCTCCCCTAATTCATTGGAGGCGACCATTCCTGCAGAGGTCTTCCTCCATCTTGGTTGTGCATGTATTTAATAATTTGTTTAGAGAGTTCACTCTAACAAAAGTTCTTTCCTTAACAGCAACTTGATGTACAGATGTGAGATCTGTAAATCCCGCATATTTCCATGCAGGCAAAAAAACCAACCAAACAAGCAAGCAAGCAAAAACCCTCACCAGATGGTTCTGCAGATCATGCTGTCATAAATGCTCCAAGAGCACACCAGGACATTTTTTTTCTGGTCAGTCGGCAACCCTATCTGTACATGTGTTCTCTGGTGCAACCCATCAGTTCTCAGTGCATTTGGCTCAAGGGCAGATGATGCTCAGGGCATTGCTCTTGGTCTGCAATGGCACTGCACATGGCCTGCAAAACCAGAGAGCTCCTGCGTCCTCTGCCTTGCTCGAGACAGCATTGTGGCAATGTTCAGGGGCTACATGTTCTACGCCTGAAGTATGCCTGCAGGTCCCCATCCTATACTGTCAGGCAGGAGAGCAGACCAACTGGGGACCTGCAATCTAGATCGTGTCCCCAGTGGTGGATGCCTGTCACAAACAGGTAAGGCCTTGCTTGTGTTGAATCACGCTTAAGCTTGCACAGTCCAGACACTCAGCAAACCCCTGTACATGGAGTGGCATAAAGGCCTCCCGAGCTTCCCCATCCTGGTGCCCTCCAGATGTTTCGAACAGCTCCTGACATTCCTGACCACCAGCCGTGCTGGCTGGAGCTGCTGGGAGTTCAAAGGATCTAGAGGATACCAGGTTGAGAATGGGTGCTTTTTTGCCACTATCTGTTAATCTCTAAGGTGTGACAAGATGATTGATTTTGTGCTTTTCCCACCTAACCTGTACTGAACTGTAAATATTTTTCTTCCGGCCCCGATCATTTTTGGTACTGGAACCAGTCTGGGGGAAATTAATGAAATGCAGTGTTCAAGGTGCAGTGAGTTAAGTATAGGGGGAGCCCCATTTTATTTGCACGTGCCCCCCCCCCCCCCACCATGCATGTCTTTTTATGTACAACCACCACTCACCCTTGCTCCATGTATGAATCGGGCAACCGTGTTCCCCATGCAGGTGCCCTGTGGATGGGTCTGACTATATTGGGCCCTTTTGGGTACTTAGTAAACAAAGCGAAATATTGATGCTTTTTTCCACAGTATATATCTGGGGTCTCAGAACCTGTAAAATAGAAATTCCTATTCGTAATAATGAGAAACTGGCCCTGTATGGCATTCTTACACTCGTCCAAACATAGTTTTTTATTATGTATACTTTGGAGCTGAATCTTCCTTTGCCATAGTTCTGTTGTCTGTTATTGGTTATAATTATCTTAATGGCCTCCCCTGCATTATGGGGAGGGGGTCTTTCCCTTCCCCACAGACTCTAAGAACGTGCTCAGCCATAAATCATGCACAGTCAGGCTGGTGTTCAGATCACCTAATTAGGTATTAAGAGAACATTTGAAAGGAATGCCATGATCCAGTGAATGTTTTGGAAAAGAAAAGGACGTGAGGCTGCAATTTATTGTTCCTGGCTGATTTTGCCTATTTGGAATCTGCTTGTTAAGGGCTGCGTATGCTTAGCTTTCTGGGGTTATGAACAAGCAATGAACACTTCATCAATGGGGCTCATTTTTAAGCATCTAAGATTCTTCGGCTGAAAAACAATGCCTTATTAGCAATGCCATAAGGGGTACACTTACATTCTCTATATAAAGTTTATTAATCCAGCTCTCTCAAAGAGCTTCACCAGCATTTGCTCATCCGTGCAAAAAAACCCAACCCCCCCCCCCCACAAGTCATGGTGAGGTTACAGGCGACGCCTTCAATCTGGCAAGTGATTTCTGTGCATACCCCACTGCACAACACAGAAGTATGTGAACCCAAAGTGCAGAGATGGGTCATATGACCCACTGGTCTGTATGTCTTGGGTCCCTTGTGCATGCTTGAGCCAGGAAGAACCAACAAGCTTTCCACACGAGGCACTTATTGTGCATTCAGGGCTCTTTGGGCATGCCAATTTGTGGGTGCTTTATATAATGTTATTGTCTTCCAGGGCCCTTCCTGTGCTGTGCAGCCATTTCAGCATTTTTTTTAAAAGGGATTCTCAGAATGGGGCATTTAACCCACCACTTTACCAAGCTTTCTGCTTTCACTTCTCTGTGGAATTAAGATTGGCTTCTTTATCTCTGTGTTATTTTTTTCTCCAAGTGGGTGAAGGTGTTCTTTCT